GCCATAGTCCGGATCGTACGAATTGATTTCTTCGGCAAGTACTGTAAAACAGCTCAATTTTCTCTTAGTACAGTTTTTTTTCCAGAATTAAGCAACAAGTTGGAATGGCAACCTAAAAAATTGAATCTACAGATATGGGTGAAAATTTTGCGATCTAAAACATAATATTTTTTAGAGGACACCGCCTAAGAGGAAGCCTTTTTCAACACTTAATGTCCATCCATAACATTCGAAACAAAAACTTTTGAATATTCTTTGTAGTATGATACCATGAAAAAAAACGTTCTAGAAGGCCTATTTTTCATTGAACGACAAATTCTATTTCCTTTTTCCTATTATTTCAAATAGGTAATAAAGCCATCGAGGAAAAAACTGTACCTGATATCCCAGCGGTGAGCAAAATTATCGTCCTTAAAAGCATCCTTTCCTGAAATTCTTGCATTAATCACTTTGATTGTAACTTGTTAAACGATCACACATCACGAAAAGAAGGAAGGAACAAGAGAGGAACGACAAAAGAAAAGAAAAAAAGGTGAAAGACAAGAGAGGATTGACATCAAAATTGCACAAAGAAAAACCATTGAGTGATTATCGAAAATAATTCGCGTCGTGGGCTGGGGAAGTCCACGGCGAGAGGTCGTATTTGGTCGCTTTAGGTAGGGGGTTGTATTTGATATGCCATATACTCATTCAGATGGTAGCGGAGTTAAAGTCCTGAACAACCACTTACTTTGGACAGCTAAATATAGTAGTTATGCGGTGGCGACACCTACCCGCGCTTGACGACTTCCGGGGAAGAACTGGGAAATTCTTTGGAAAAATGCATGGGAAGTTGGGAAGCATTAACACGATGGTAGATTGCATGACTAAGGGGACCTCACAGAGCAGGAAATTTGGGGGGGAGGTCGTATTTTGCAAAAATTTTCTCCAGCCACACGGGGTGTTTTCATTGAAACCCACCAACCACGTACATGTACGTATATATGTCCCTCCCTCTTAGCTCAGCACTAAGGGAAGGGAAGAGCAATGGAAAGGAAATGAATGACGTCAAGGAACAAGAGACGAGTTCTATCGCTGTTTCTTATCTAAGTAAGTAATTAAGTATCTTCAACATTTTCTAGACATGATACTTCCGCATATCCCAGAGTATACAGGATACAAATGGCTATCTTTGAAATTCAGGGATGAAATGAGCGAGAGGAGGACGGAGGAGGGGAGGGGGGGGGAATAGATGTCACAACCTCTGAATTTCCTCTGAGAATGAGAAACATCTTCAGCTGTTCCACATTTGAGCGGATTTTTCAGCACTTGATCCACGAGTAAGTAATCGGTTCACCACAAAAAAAACTTGCTGAGGATATCAGCTCGAAATGAGGCTCGACAAGGACTGTGAAGAAACGCCAGGTTTGGTCAATGGGCACCATAAAGCTGCACCGGTGACTCCTTCGGATCTCACAGTTGCTGGAGTGGAAGCAAGAGGAAGACCTAGCAGGAGCAACCTCAGTAGGTTGTTATGCAACGAGAATGACAAAGAGAATAGAAACCCTTCGCAAGACCGAGATTTCATCGAACATTTTAGTTTCGAACAGTAAACGAATTCCAGAAGGAACTTCAAAAGAAACGTTTCAATATTGGGTGTTACTGGAATCGTATTCCGTGAAAGTTGTACTTTAGGCAGCTGAGTTTTAAAGACAACGTCAAATTTATAGGCAATCGAAACCTCTAAGAATAGGCCGTCAGTCCTGGTTGTGAGCTAGCTAAGGACAACAGATCAGCGCAAACACAAACGAATTAGGGAAATATCTTAGAGTAGTGCTTGATTGAGCACATTGTTTGTGACGTAACTGGACGACGACGCAATCGAGTGCGTAGCGGGTACGAGGGCGTCGTCGGCAGCGCAGTGGGCGTCATGGTCATCGTCATGATGGTCGTTGTGGTCCATCGCCCCCAGAGTCCACTTCAGAAGAATAATTGGCACTGCTTAGACGTATTAACCATAGCTGACGAACATATGCTTTGCGTTCTGCAGCTCATATATCATGCTTGAGAAATTGTCACTAAGATCTGACACTTAATCGCAGCGGGTGACTGTAATCGTGTATGACCTTGATGGGTTGCTAGAAAAATCAACGGGCATTTCATTCTCAACTGGTGGACATGAATCGGGGTCAATGAAATTATTAGCGCGTAAAAAACCCTCTGCAAAATAGCCGCGGAGACTTGAAGGAACTTAAAGGTTCTCAGTATACCTTTGGATATTTCGGTGTTTAGCGCCGCTCTTAGCGATCTGGGCATTCCTCAACTCTGTGGATAGCTAGCCTTAGCTCACCTTGAAGGATCACTCTAGGGTAATCTACGTATTTTCGCGACATTTAAATCCAAAAGGGGCTCCGGCCCAGCAGCATCGCGACAGCAGTAGCAGCCCTACACTATACCTACACGTACCAGATACAGCTTAAAGAATACCGTACTCACAAAAGGGTACTATCATCTGACCTGAAAACCGAAAAACCTTTGGCCACCAGTTTAATGAGATTACGAAGGACTTCAGTAAGTAAGATTTCCCTTTTATTCTCACAGAAGGAACCCCTTTTGGCTCTACAGTGGTTCCAAGAGTTTGTTCTTATAGGAGGCAAAAAATCAAGGTTGAAAAACACTTGAACTTTCCCACTAGAGAAAACAGTCAGCCAATTTTAGCCATGAAGTACGATGTATGTAACTCCTAATCGCCGCGTGTCACTGTAATCGTTGGTTGACCTTGATGACTAGTAAAAACTAATACCGTCTTGCTGTGGTAAAAATGTAGTGAAATTTCCGTGCAGTTCATGAAAATTCGCTTTCTTCGAGTTTTTCCGTGGAAAAAATATCATTCCAGCAGGTTCAACAAAAGAAGGGACACCATTACGGGAAACGAATACTTTCCCTCAGGATAGAAGAACCCCTCAATAACTATGTAATCAGAACAAGTAGTTAAGAACAATTACGGATCAATTACGGACAGTGTTCTTATAACTGTTAAGTTAGTTGGTACACATTACCCTCAGTTAAAATTCCTTCCAAAATTAGCAACCACCGTGCAGACCAGAGCCGAAAAGATTCGATTCATGCATAAGAAACAGGCAAGAAACTACTCATGAAATACTAAACTTCAGTGAACATAAACTGTATAGAGACTTGTACCAATTTAATCCTAATTCTAGACAAGTTGAAAAAAAGAAAATTTCAAGGTATTATCGTGAAAAAAGAGAAAAATGATCACCACAGTTGGGCCTCTGGAGGAAAGAGCTATAGGTAGAAGCATGAGATGGTAGCTACGTTTGCCCGTTGAGGTCGTAAGACCAACAAAAGTTGTTTTGAATTGGACTTTCACAACAGGAAAATCTTTGTTAACGACTCCACTATCAAGCGAAGGAAGAAACGGATCTTCAGTAGAAACCAGTTTCACACCTCTACAACTTCTAGCAGTTGCAGTAATTGGTCTGTGATCTGTTGACCACAGGAGCGCTTTCTCCTTAAGGTTCTTATTTCCTAACGTAATGCACGCCTTTTGGGGCCTTCGAAGGACTCGTTGTGAGGGACTCGTTGCAAGACTTGGACTACTAACAGAGCCGGAGGCTTTTGCCTAGAGGACTGAAG